CCCCAAAACCCCAAAACCCCAAAACCCCAAAACCCCGTTTAACAGTCTAACGAATAATTGCAAAGATCTATTAATTTTATTTATTAAAATAAATTAGGTTAAATTCTAACGAAAAGACCTAAAGTCCTTAATAATAAGCAACGATAATATCAATCTCGAATATGAAATATCCTGTGCTTAGCATTTTAAAAAACAATATTTCATAGAACCTATGCTGCTCATCTAATCATGGCAGAGTACTTGACTTTATTATCATGAATAGCTTGCTAATCTCTTATATTGTCCTTTACATGAGTATCAATGTTTTATCTTTTCTTATTCGCAGCCATCTATTAAAAAAATAAAGTGATCAGTTGTAAAAAGAATTATCAATAACTTACCATCAAGTTATCCTAAGCAATTAGCCTCATTTACTCTCTCTTTTGAATTTCTCTCATTCGTTGGGCCTAGTCAAAGTAATGATTTCGGCAAGTAGTCATACCTAGCAATCTTATTCAAATATTTTTTTGCATTCCTCAGTCTAACGTTGGTCTCTTCTCTCAAACTCCTATTGCTTCTGCTTCTTGATGCCCAAAAGAAAGTCACAATCTTGTTAATATTCTTGCCTGATAATTTATAAACAGTAAGATAATTACTGAATGACTTTCTTCTCATCAGGTGAACCAAAGAAAGCAATGCGTCTGTACTCATGAATTTTCTAAATATCTTGATGTAGATTATTTTACCATCATTTTTTAAGCTTTTGAATCCATTCTTTACTGATTTTTCTAGAAATCATCATCCTATAATTATTGATTAAGACTTTTCTTACTTGAAGTGTAAAATTCTTGTCCTTAACACTGGTGGAAGGCTTTTACTTTCTTTGGAGTATGCCTTCTCTGCTGTATAAGCCTTGACTACCAGATGTCATTGTTGATCTGGTTGAAAGGTTTGATGGCATGTAAGAGTTCTGATTGTTTTTGTTTGAAACTTGTGAGTTCTTCATTTGAAAATAATTTATTATTCAGTTATCCTATTATTCACTTTAAATGGGGTTTTGGGGTTTTGGGG